TGATTTATGTCTTCTTGACGAACGCACATTGTGACTCATTTGTACGAATGGGAGTTGAGAATATAATTTGCTTGGGTTCTGTTCAACGAATTTCGTGAACAATGGTTTGAGGTTTCAATGTGATCGCTCGTTTGCGCCTGAGATTTTAGGTTGTGCGATGATGTTTGAAAGTATATCATTGATTTATTATTTACCTCGGTCAGTTTGTATGATTTGTGAGAACTTATGTTCACACATCATTGGTACCGGCGTTCTTGCTACAGTAGCTGCTGATCTATCCATCATTGGTCTGAATATGACGTATAATGAGTGCGCGTCTACCCACACTAACACATGTGTGGCCTCTGATTGAGTCCAGTAGTGGGCTTATAGTGTCTACTTGGATTTTTGTCTTTTTAACTTTCTAAGTAAATAAATTTGCGGAAGTGCTACAATTGCAATAAGCCTGGCCACCTTGCTCGCGATTGTCGATCGTAATATCGCAGACCCAGACCAAATCAGAGCTACAGCAATTATTCTGACCGCAAGGAATCTCGTAAACCATACGAAAACAGATACTCCGACAATCGAGGAAAATATTCTGACGACCGTCATCACCGTGATAGCTCCGAAAGTCTACACCCTGGTCACGACGCTCCAGTTATCCGCCGAAGAACCCCCACTACCACAAGGATAAACGTAATGAGTTTTACAACAACAAAAAGTGTCTAACGCAAGCGGGTACTACTCGGAGGAGAATCCACGTGAAGCCCTTAAAGTAGCCTTTAATTTCAGGAAGAGTGATGAGCAGGCATCATGTAGTGGCGATGAAGGCGTTAGAGCATTCTTGACTATTGTCGATTATGTCGAATCCGACATTGATTTGTCGGATGATGATATGCCAGAAGCTATCATGGCAACCCCCGAAAATTGCCCTGGATTCGTGATGAAGCCAAGTGCCGAAACGGACGAAGGAGAACGTTCGGATTTTATTCTGAATAGTCCTATTTGTAGTCCTGACGAAGATGGTGGATCGCCGGGATTCCTATTCGACAGGTTCTAGTTAAGGTTACGATGATGAACCACTCGAGCTTTTGTACAACAGCGACTCCGACGAAGATGAAGCTTCTAGTAGAAAATTTGATGGATATATCATCACTTCGCTTATCAAAGCTATGGACTCTGAGAAGATTTTTGGTCAAAGAGCAACTACAGCCGATAACACGATAACAGCCGAACTCAGTGGGACTCAGGACAATGGAGCTTCAGTTCACATTGTTATCGATTTGGATAAGATATCAGACACTAAACGTCACTTCACAAAAGTACACCTAGCTGACGTCAGAACTATATTTTAAATACAACTCACTCCGGGCAATTGAGCGACGCCGGAAGGGCCATTCTTGGACCAACGTTGCGGACCAATCTGATCAGCGTCCTGCAATTAACCAAGGCGGGATATAAACTCTATATGGATAAAAATTATGCCTTTCATAGTCACCCCAACACCTGGTATATAATTCTGAGCAAAAGCAAGGCGTTTATGTCTTACCCCGGGAGATTTTCTGGCTGCCACGGGCATCTTACACATCCGAGCCATTTGCCCAAGAACCTACCACCGATCGACGACCGCGCGGATTGCAAGTGCTGTATCATGGGCAAACTTGTCAAACGTCGGACGCGAAAGGTCGGAGAGAACCACCCGTCCGTAAATACAATAGACTTTCCCTATATTGACCTTATAGGTAGAATTTCGAGCTATTTTATTGACAATATAGTTAGAGGATTGTTAAGAAGCATGAATGCGACCAATGAACACCGAATAAATCTAGACCAAAGTAATGAGTGATCAGAGCGGAACTATATAGACAATATTATCAGTCTACAATCCCTTGATCTTTAGCTCACCAGCGGAGGGCTGAAACTTAAACTTTTTTTTTTGTATATTTCAAAATATAGTCAGCCTGATTAAACATTTGTGGTCGACATCCGTTGGAGGATTCGGTAACATCATCACCAGATCATGGTGATAAAACCGACTTGGTGACGTAAACAAGCGAAGACAATCGCTACTTCCGTGCCACTCGGATGCCAATCGAGAGAGAGCAAGCGGCGACTGCTGAGGAAGTTGACGATCATAAGGTGATGGAATCCCACAATGAATTTCTGGAACTGAAGAGATGTTATGAGGGATTTCCACGTAAGAAAGAGACCAAGAAGCAGGATTCTGGAGACGAGCAACCTGATAAAGGAATAGAAACTATAGATGAAGGAGATGATGATCATTCTGATGACGACGCAGCGATGGTTTACCGATTTGATCGATAAATGCTACATTCCGGCACCTCGAGGGTGCATCGGTACTGGCGTCTGACTGTCTTTGCTGTTGCCCGTGGTGACTGTCCTGATGTAGGTATGGTGGTTGTCTGTTGTGCGCCTGTCGAGACTGCATTTTTCCTGAGCAACTCAGGCGTTGCTTTCCGTTTGTGCTGTATGTATTGTTGAGAGCTTTCTTGTGTTTGTGCAGTCGATCTGATACTGTGTGGTTGATTGAAAACATGTTCCAGAATGGATGCCGTTATTGGGTGGTTGTCGATGGCGTGGTTGTATGTTTTTCGCAGATGCTGTGATGTCTTAGTTTATCTTGTACCTGAGAACAAAATGGCCGGTTAGTGTTTTGAACTGGGTACGAAAATAGTTGTTGGGTAGTTGCAAAAATACCGTTATGCGGTGGATGAAGTGTTACATGCCGACGCGAATTCGTTTGTGTTTCCTGGCGTGCTTGTGTACATGGCAGTGATAGTATGTGCAAATCTTTATCCTGCCTAGCAGCTGTGTGCCTTGTAGATCCGTGCTGGTGTTCCACTGACTTAGGACGTGTTATCTGGGGTGCCACCTGTAGTTTGCTGACCAGTGGGTGTTGTCACTTGATGTACAATGTACTGACGTGAAGGTGTATCCGGGTAGAGACCTAGCTGCCGTGGCTGGCTGCTATGAGGCATTAGCTTTTCTTGATATGCATTATAAGGTACAGGTGTGTGGGATTTAGCAGCCCGTTGCGTTCAGGTAGGTTGCTGTTCTGAAGTGCAGGTATTTCTAGAAGGTCACCCTTTTGAAGTTCAGGTGTTTCTGGAAGGTTGCTCCTCCGATGTACAGGTGCTTCCGGGAGGTTATTATTTGGACGTGCAATTGTCACCGAGGCACAGCTGCAGCTCTCCCAAACTCGCTCTAGGTACAATACCAGGTGTTTGTCTTGCAAGAGCTGTATATGTGGGTTTTGTATTCTCCATTATGAAGACTGTATTGTCCTCAACTAAAAATGCACAGGTCTTTACACGACGCCAGGTCTGTATATAGTGCGTTTCACATCCGCAGCACTGTTTACATTTTGTATTCTTCCTCGCCTGTGAATCTAACGAGCTTTTGACTTTGTTATATTCTTTGACCACATTTTCCAACGTGGTCGCAAATCGGGCTCCCCAGTTTTGTCCGACGTTCCTTAGTAATCTTTGCAGAGAAACTTCTGCCATACATACATTATGTGCATTTGTCTTTACCCCCTGCATGTGCCAAACTTTGTATGATGCTACTTGCGCACTTGCCATTCTGTCAGTGTCGTGCTCATCCCTTTGCTTCTTTCTACAATAACAAGACTTGACCAGTTCATGTAGTTTATCTGCAACTTCGATTCTAATGAGTGTAATGCCCGCTGTTGTTATACCTGGACTCTTCTGCTGTTCACCACCTGTCTATTAACTCTCTGACAGTTCCAACACACTTCCCTCACTTGCCACCACACCTGTTTCCGTGTTAAACGCTATTGCCGCTTGTAGAATGATGTTGACTTGCCTGCTGCCTGAATCTTTGCGGAATGTGCGTTTGCGCTTCTCGCGGATTATATCATCTGCATCGATGTATTCTATATCAATAGCCGGTAGCTGATAGTCCTCTTCAAATGCGCTGTTGTTTGTCACTTTAACTGGTAGAATGCCCGTCTCTGTGTGTATAGTCAATTCATCTGGTGCGAACAGTATATCGTGGATTTCCGTGACTCCGTGACGGTTAGTCTTGCGTGCAGCTGCATCCTGTTTTGTACATAAAATTATCCGCGATTAATATCACGTGATAGATTTACACATACGAAATACAGAATTCGAATGAAAATATATGAAAAAATATGTCGCTCACACCTACCACTATTGTCTCAACAGTTCATCATCAATCTCTTTTCGGCACAGGCATTGTTGAATTTATCGGACCAGTGACTCCGCTTGCTATATGTGCCGATTGTTGATCTCGTAACATCCTCTGAGCTCTCTTGTTTAAAATTTCCCGTACATGGCACCTATTATTTGGTACGAACGCTACTAAATTTAACTGATTCCAAATCTTCGAGTTTCATCTACTGACCTTCTGGATTAGGTTCTCCGTGTATATACTAATATTTAGATATTGCCTCAACAGTTCATCATTAATCTCTTTTCGGCACAGGCATTGTTGAATTTATCGGACCAGTGACTCCACTTGCTATATGTGCCGATTGTTGATCTCGTAACATCCTCTGAGCTCTCTTGTTTAAAACTTCCCGTACATGGCACTTATTATTTGGTATGAAGGCTACTAAATTTAACTGATTCCAAATCTTTGAGTTCCATCTACTGACCTTCTGGATTAGGTTCTCCGTGTATATACTAATATTTAGATATTGTCTCAACAGTTCATCATCAATCTCTTTTCGGCACAGGCATTGTTGAATTTATCGGACCAGTGACTCCGCTTGCTATATGTGCCGATTGTTGATCTAGTAACATCCTCTGAGCTCTCTTATTTAAAACTTCCCGTACCTGGCACTTAATATTTGGTATGAAGGCTGCTAAATTTAACTGATTCCAAATCTTCAATCTATTACTCGCTGTATAACATTCATGGAAGGTGTAGCTAAACTTGCGCGCGGCGTATCAGCAGCAAAATGTGATATACATCCGTTCATATGGTCTCTTTGCTATTCATAAGCATCATGTAGGGTATATTTCTCAATCGTGGCTTATGTAGTTTGAGATTGCGTATATTCCCCGTTCCAAAACCGATCGTCAATCTAGATGTTTGTAGCCAATTTAAAGGCGTAGATATAACTGCTTTAGTACATCTGTATCCGGAGAGATTGAATATCGACATGCTCAGAATTGCGTTCCGATAAAGAAGTAAATACAAAAAGTAGATAAACACGTCTTAGTGAGGGAAGAGTTCATACATGCGGTTTATATCGTGCTCGTGCAGGCAGATCTCGTCTTTTGCTTTTATTGCGTCGTGTAACGTTGATAAACCTGGGTACTGGCACAGGCATATCCTCATCACGTTCTATCGGCAAACGGCAGCCTCGGAATTCTACACTTCTTTCGTGCTGACTGATTGAGGTTGATCATCGTTGTCTGTTGTGATTGCAAACAGAAGTAATTTCATCGCACGGCTGATATTAGGACCATCATTTTTTATTGCAGTATCGGGTATGAACTTCACTATCTTTGTTTTCTGAGCTAAAGCATCACCTGTACAACCGTAGTGTATGACAAGCTGGTATATTAGCTTGTTTGTTCTCTCATCGTTAGGTAACAGTACTTTAATCAAGTTTCTATCGATTTCTTGTGTTGATATTTCCTGTGGACATGGCTCGATATGATATCTCACAGTTTTACGGTCGCCCTGACGCCTCAAGTAGACTGTACGAATTGTTTGTTCTATCGCACTTGTCTTCTTTTGATGGATCTGATCAGACCCTCTTGCATGGACAGGCTTCGGATCTTGGAGCACTGCATAGATACATCGACTCGCGCACGAAAGGAAGTCCGTCGTTTTAGATTAGCATCTTTTGCCAGTTTTCTTATCAATATGGTTTGTGGTTTTACAGCAGCAGTAGTCACCTTTGCAAGTATGGTCTTCTGCTTTTCCAGAGAGTATGAGACAACCCAAAGTCACACTAGTACCGTTTCATTCCGTTAGTTGGCAGTGAGCACGGCCAGTAAAAGTCCAGTGCCTCGGATGCATCGTCCAACACGGCCCCGTTGCACGTACAAACTAGCAAAAATAATGTGCTTTTTGTTCATAAATGGGAGTCTTATTTTTGGGTGGTTAAAGTTCTAGTGTGACTAGATTTAGTACAACGAACGTCTTTTTATAATCAGAATCAGCCATGTTGTTGAATAGGTAGGAACAGTCGGGTGGAGCTAACTTTAGAACTAAGCGCGTTATGGTAATACATCCAACGAGCAGTTTGCTTTAGGATACTAGATCTTTACTTCTATGCATTACGATTGGTGTTTATTTGGTTGTCTCGTTATGCTACTCAACGGCCCATCGTCTCCCATCACGACTTGGTTCAATTTGCCCTTTATTTTTAGTAAATCGACTTTAACTACTTAGTCTATTATCGTCGGTTTAGAGCGTGACAAGTTGTACCTGGCTGTGTTGCGTTATGAAGACAGCATAGTACATGCCTAATTAAGAATGTCGTCTCGATAGACATTAAGGCGAGTTTTATGTATAAACATTGCAAGTCGAAGGAGGGCACGTACCACCATTAGTATGGAACTTTGGTTGCAGCAGCATAATAAGATATGCCGGGAAAGGAAGTATACAGCACCATTGATAATATACAACCATTGATAATATACATAGCTTGGCTATGTGAGAAGGAAACATCAGCTGATTGCGAGTCTACATCACGTATATTAAATTGTGTAAATCAACGAGGATTTAACCATCTGAGCTGGTGGTTTCCTACTGACTGTTTTGTGCAATACTGTTAATTTTATATATTTAGTGACAATGTGAATGACTGAACCAACCAACCTATTACTAGGCTGGCTGGTTCAGTTATTCACCCATGTGCTACAAAACTGGAAGTATAAAAGACAACTAGTTGTCATAGATATATGAAGGCTAGTTTATATGATAAACCTATTGAGTTTTGCTCAACACCATGTACCTCGATCGTCCTTTTCCATATATATAGCCGGGTTCTGTTTTCGATTTTCGGAACGGCTTGTAGCCTGTAGGACTATTTCGACTCAGAGTCAGAGACCCTGTGTTCGATAATGATAAAAAACGCTAGGACTTGTCCCGCACGAATTAAATAGCTGCTCTATTCTGCATCTGCAAGCGCACAAATATTTAGTTTCAGGAGTATGTCTACGGCGTGTTTCATTTATGAAAATATTTAAAAGCGAATCTTGTCTGTGAAAAGTATAGAGGAGAAAAAATATCTCTTCCTATGTATGGGCTATTTTGATTATACTACCTGATTGGTCAAGTGTTTTCATATCAGTATTTTT